GTAAGCTATACATACTCCTAAAAAAAAAATAAATCAGACTTTTCCTCCCTCCTCACTAATGATCCATGAGTGCAGCCTGCACATCCTAAAATGCCCCTTTAGTATTAGCCATGGAAGTTCCTCTAGCATTGCCTGGAGATGCTGTTGTTCATCACCTGTGGGACGTTTTTGTGTAATGCCTCCATGGGCAGTTCCTGCTGTCTGCCATCCAAGAGGTGGCTGCCCTGTGGAAAGAGAGCTTTATGTGTGCCCTCTGTGGCCCTTCAGGATGGTGATACTACTTCTGCGCAATGCTAAGTAACATGATCTATGTGGAGGAGTGTCTGTCTTCTGAAATTTCAGTGAGGTCATCAATGAGGCATTTGTGTATTAAATCTTTACATACGCTATGCAGTAAGCACTCTGTGTGGGTAAAAGGTAACTAATGCCATGAGTCAAAAACTACCTAAGAGACAGAAAACAAATTAGAAAGCATATGGTCCAGTTTGTGCAGCATCCAGAGGTAAAATATAAGGGCTTCATGATTTCCTACTAAATATAAAACTGATCAATACAGTAATGATGAGGAAAGTGGTTGGAATAAACATGGAGATGGCTAAATTTGTAGATGACTCGCTTATATCTAGAAAAGACTGTGAGGAGCTTCTGCAACTAAATTGAACAGTCATTGTGATGTCTCAACGCAAAATCAAGCACACTAGAAAAATTAAACCTTCCAGACTCCTTATAAGGGCTCAATTAATAGTGTCATGGCAGGGTGAAATTTGTATGTCACTGTATACCTGTAACTGAAGATCTTTATTTGGTGCAAAGCTAGTGTCAGGTTATGTTATGGTGCATAAAAAAATAGGATGGGGAATGATACAGAAAATACAATAATGCAACCCTGTGAATCTTCTGTGTTGCTTCTCTTCTTGTATACTTCTACTCTTAATGGCCATAGCAGAACTAGAAGAGTTTATGGGATACATGACAGTGGTTATGAGGGACTAGAGAAACTCTCCACTTAAGGAACAGATGGTAAAGACTGGGGGCTTTCTGCCTTGGTGGGGACACGATGGATAGAAACATTCTCTGGAAGTGCACAGACATTGTGATGATTGCAGTAATCAGAATGTGCCTGAACGCACAAAGTGAAGATTTGTACAAAATGAGAAATTCAATGCTAATGAAGTTTACTCCCACAGTTACTGGGGGAGAGGAGATTTTGTTGAATGTAGCAGCTTGTGAGCATAGTATGAGAGGGCTGAGCAGGGTCAGGGGTCTACGTTCCGAATGCACCTGGAGATCTGTGGTCAGAGAGCTTTTTTCAGATGTTTTTTCCAGGCAAGTTGAAGCCAGCAGTCTTCAGGAGCCTGAGAAGGATATTCCTCATACCGGTAAATGTAATTAAGGGATTTTGCCATTTGCAGTGTTATTTCCAGGCATGCATTTCACTGTCATAGGGCTTTTGTAAAGACAAATATCTGGCAATGACCTGAACAGTGTGTTTTCAATCACTGTGTCTGCAATGTCAGTCACACCACTACTCATTTCTGTTGCACATAATTTTTATGAGTAAGAAGAATAATGCCCCAGTCTATGTGTTTAAATCCTTTGTCCGTGCAGCTGCTTCTGCAGGCCTGTATAGAGGAAGCAGCCAGCAAAGGGCTTCTCAGACTGATGAGCACTTGGATTCAAGGAGGCCTTGGGATGATGGATATTCCCTCAGCTGGGCACAGCCCAGCGTTTGCTCTGTCACATACTGTCACAGAGCTGCGGGAGCTGTTACTGGCCCAGGTGTGAGCAGGGGCTGGGGCACTCGCCCGGTGAGTTAACAGGTTGGTTAGGTCACTGTGTTGCCGTCTCACTCACAGTTTGCAGTTCAGCCTGGAGTTTGTGTGCTGTTCTGCTTTATCTCTGAACTAAGCTGAAGAACAGTTTGGGGTTTTGGCATGTATGTGTGTGTGTGCAGAGATTCAGTGTTTCCGGAAATGGCCTGTCTGTATGGCTGTGCTCCTGTACCCTGCTGAGAACCAACTGCTGCAACTGAAGAAAGAATATCTGCCCAACCGTGGGTCAGGAGCAAAGCTCTGGAGGGCTGCACTGCTTCACAGAGTCATAGAATCACCAAATCGTAGGCTAGAAGGGACCTCTTGAGATTGTCTAGTCCAATCCCCCCCAGCTCAAGAAGGGTTAGCTAGCGCAGGTTTCCCAGGACTGTGTCCAGTTGGGTTTTGAGTATCTCTGAGGATGGATACTCCACAACCTCTTTGTACAACCTATTCCAATGTTTTAACACCCTCACAGTATAAAAAGTGTTTTTTTGTGTTCAGATGGAATTGCATGTGTTTTAATTTGTGCCTCTTGCCTCTTGTCCTGTCACTGGACACTACTGAGGAGAGAGTCAGACTTCCTCTTCTCCATTCCCTCTCATCAGGTATTCATACATATTGGTAAGATCCCTCCCCCACCCCAAGCCTTCTCTTTTCCAGCCTAAACAGTCTTAGCGTGCTCAGCCTTGCCTCATATGAAAATGATTCAGTCTCTTAATCATCTTCATGGCCCTTCACAAGACTCAGTACTTCACCATTCCTACCTTCCATTTGCCAGCAGCTGCTGGCCCCACAGCTTGAGCCCTTCTCTTTCTTTCAAGTATGACGGGGACAGCCCCTCCGGGGGGTGAGAGGATGCAAGCAGAATGCTAACCAGCCACGCTTTGTTTACCAGTCTCAGCAGTGACAGTTCAGCTGCTTGCGTGTGAACAACAGAAATGGCAAAGAGCAGCAGTATTTTCATGCCTGTTCGTCCTGCAGATGGGCCCCTTTCCCTGTACAGCTGGCATTGTCCACGAAGTGCTGCCCAGCCTGCAGCCCTCAGGCTGGCATTGCCTCTGCAGCGCTGTGGCACCTGATGCCTGGAAGGATGCCTGCATGCTGGCCACCAGTGACTACAGTGTGCCTGAGAGCCATCCTTTCACGTGGCACAAGAGACTGCTGGTACTGGTTCTGTACAAGCAAGCTGTGTTCTCGAAGTGATGTGGGTAACAACTACCAAAACAGTCTGCCTGGCATGTATAGGCAGCAAGGTGGCAGAAGTTGAAGCCTGGGGAATGGCATTGGTTTCACTCTATCCCAGACCTACTGTTGAAAAATGGGAGCAGATCGCTTCTGTTCTGGATGCTCTGAGCAGCGTGCGAGTGCAGGTCCTGGTGTGGGGTGAGCTGTGTGAAAACTGCACAGTGCAATCAGTGAGGAAATGAGGTACTTGTGTTTGCTGCTGGGATCAAAGCAATGCCAAGGTATCAGCAATGCCTTTACAATTACCATTACCTTGAGGATTAGTGGGGTTTTTCTTCTTTTGGTTGCAGTGCATGCCCCAGAACACTTTCTGGGCCCTCCTCATCTGTACCACCTGCCACCCTCCCACACTGCTCCTCACAGGCTCACTTGCAGCATTCCTTGTTTGTGTATGAAGGGTTTGGTTCCCAGCCTCTCCCATCCATAAACCACATCCCACATCAAGTGGCAGAAATGCCACTGAACTCAGTACAAGCATTTCCTTTGCACAGTGGTGGTTTTGTTTTCATCTGGAGAGACTGTTTTTAGACAAACTGAAAGAACACAAGTTCAGAAAGCAGCTAGAGATGCAGAGTGTAAGTAGTTCTGCTGAGAGCTTAGAGCTGCTCTCATTTTGGGCTGAAAGTTGCCTTCTGGGCATATCTATCTGGTCTATACTTAATTGCTGGCAGCCAGAGTAAAACATCGCAGTAAACTGAGTTTGATTAAAGCTATACTAAATACTGGCCTTTCTCTGACTTCATTCTTTTTGAGTCCTTTTGGTGTCTTTCTTTGAAATACCATTTTGATCAAGCTAGTTTAGAAGGATTGAGATCTGCTTAGAGAGCTGATGGGAGGTTGTGGAATAGAGAGGGTGGAAAGAACAACATTGTCAGAGAGCAACAGTTGTCCTATAAATTATACATTCCAACAGTTAAGTTCTATCTGCCTGGCTTGTAGAGTGAATGCAATGTCCAGAGGTAGGTATATGCAAAGACCAGAATCCAAAAAATTATGTGCTGCCTGCAATGTCAAGGGAAATGCTGCAGGAGGGCCCTGTACATCGCCCTGCTTCCCAGAGCTGTTTGACATGGGTACACAATGATGGCTCTATCCCCGCCTTTCAGGATGGCAGGCACTCACCACTGTCCTTTCTAATAAATTAATAGGGCCCAGGCATTATGGCAATATTTTACCAAATATGCCTGTAGTGCCCATGCCAAGGTGAGCACACAAACTGCTTTTTTGCACTACCAGGCTCTTGCTTGCTCTTCTTTGGTTCCTCCTTTTTTCCCTAAATATATACACAGAGAGAGAGCAGAGTCCTCTCTGGGTGCCTATTTGTGACTCTCACAGGAGGGAGATAGAACAAGCATTCTTGTCATCTAAATGGTTCCCATAGCAGCAGTTCACCTCTAGGAGTGCACGTTTGTTTTAAAGAAAAACACTTCATAAGAGAAAAAACTTGCTAGGAATGATGAGAGATTCATTATTAGTGCTTCACCACTGTACTGAAGGATGAGTTGGCATGCACCAGCTGGCTCACAAAGCCCTGTGGTGACTAAGGTTTGGACAACATCCAGAGATACCTCTCCATAGTAGCTGCGATGAGGCAAGATATTTCCGTCTGGAGGGGATAATTGGTCTGTGCCAGCGTTTGCGGGGCACAGCTGCCTGGCACAAGTGAGCAGCTTGATATGCCTGGTACTGTGGACTTCAGAACATGTTGGAGTTGAGTTGCAAGTTCTGCTGATCCAGAACTAGGATTCTTTCCTTGTTACTGAAAAGAGTTTGCTTTGTTCTATGAGACCCAGGTATTAAATTGGGCCTGGAAGGCAAGTTGAAGCCTTGCAATCAAGCTCATGTTGAAGTGGAATTTCTGAGGCTAAAACATCAGTAGGCAGATACTGTGTCATCAGCTTCTCCCATCCTGTCTAATCCCTTGCCTCTTCCCAGGCCAAAGAACCCTCCATCACCGGAGTGATACCCTGGAGACAGTGATCCTGGTAAATCCCAATGTGGACAGCATTGTGTCTGAGGTAAGGACCAGATGCAGCGGGTTTTCTCTGCATCAGCTCTCCTGCCCTTGCTTGACATAGAGGTCATGATTATCACACTTTGCACCTTCTGGAGAGTCTGAACTTGTTGCCAGTCTGCTGCAAGGTGTGGTGAAGTGGCCAGGTGTTCTGGCCTTGTCAAGAAGATATATGCAGTAACCAGTATTCTGTGGCAGAATTTACTGCTAGACCAAGAAACACATGAGAGTGTATGGTGTGTCTTGTGTGCTAGCCCTTTAGGAATGAACTGCTTCCTGGAAGAGTTAATGCCTTAGAATTGCCCAATTTTAAGGATTTCTCAGGAGCTTGTAGAGTTTCCTAGCAAACAAGGTGGAGGGCTTCTGAACTGTGCATTCTAGTTTTATGAGATTCTAAATGTGCTGACCTCTTACATGGCAGTGTAACGCTAAATATTTTTTCTTAGCATTGGCCTACTTTCTCAGTGTGAATTATGGCATGACATGGAGCTGTGTCAGGCAGGCAGTAGCAGTGTCTTCTCTTTTCAGTAACCTACTCTCTTGTATGTAGAAATCTTATGTTTTGGCTATTTGTGAATAATGCATAAGTATCACTTGTCCATGTGATTGGGTTTCTGGGTGTTGGTAAGGAATACAGATAACTTTTTGACTGCAACACTCTGTCTCATGGTAACAGGTCCGCTCACTGGTGTGTGATTCATCAGCCCACAAACTACTGATCTTCTGTGGTCAGAGCTCAGACCAGGAAGGAGACTTGATCCTGCAGACAGGGACCTTCACTTACCAAAAGTTTGCTGAGATACTTTCAGACCCAGAGGTGAGTCTAAGCAGTAAGCCAGTGCGTCTCCTCTTGTTCACAGAGTGCGTGATAGAGCAATGCAGCCTGTGCCACTCCTTCAGGTGGCAGATCCGCAGAGGGCTTGAAATCCAGCAAAAAAGTGCACACATGCTATAGTCTTGGGCATCTTGCTTTAACTCCCTGGCTTAAGTTTTACAAGATGGCAGGCATGGGTTTGCCTGGGATTCAGCACTGAATTTAGACAAGATGGCTCAGGGTTTGTCCAGTGGGGTCCTGAGAACCTTATAAGACATGTGTGAACATCTGCTCCAATGCTAATTATCTTAGCTAGGTGTACTATAGCTTTCCTCAGAAGGTTTAAGCTCTCTTTCTATTGGTGCTTGTTGCCAATACAGATATGCTTCTTCAGTTTTTGATAAGCCCTACTTCCACTGACCATTGTGTGCCAGACGTTTAGAATGTCTCCATCTGCAGGAATGGCTGGGTTATATTTTGACAATTGACATCACTGTTGCTGTAGTTACATCAGCAAATCTGTCCACCTTCATTTATTTTAGGCTGATTGTTCTAATTTATTTCTTATACCCATTTATTTGGACACGAACTAGTCAATTAAGGACTGTCTAAGCAAGAGAACACAGTGTAAAGAAGTGTACTAACCTCATTCCAGATACTTAGGAAGTCTGAGGTTTAATGCTTCTTTGCTCGGGATATGTTCAGCATAGCTCAAAGGAGCCTTGGAAATTATATCGACCTTATTTCTACTTATTAATCATGTAGCATGTCCCCAACCCTGTATGTATATCAGAAATGGAGTCACAACTTTCAAAACAGGTCCCAGGAAAGAAAATTAATCTGAATAAAAAAAGAAAGTCCTATAACACCAAAACTGCACAAAGAAGTGCTGTATGATCGTTCATTAGCCAATGAGTGAGGATAAGTTCAGACAATGATACTTAGCATTGAAAAGGGTATCTCAGGGTTAGAATTCACAAATCAAAAAGAAACTGCTACTTTTGAGCCCAAGCCAGGGACTGATATCCCAGGTTAAATAGGAAGAAGTAAGGAAAGAAGACAAGGTGGTTCCTGCTTTCATTTTCTTTCCTAAGGTATTGTCACCATGCACTCCCAACAGTCAGGAAGCATAACAGCCCATCAACATTAAGAATTTCAAAAGAGAGCAGAACATGCATCTATTTGCAATGGACTTTTGGACTGTTTAATCTATCCCCAGTGTTTTCTGTCAGTAAAGTGCTCATGGCGTCTTCAGTATTTCTGCATTGACTGGCTATTTTTTTTTAAGTGCTGATTTGGTCTGAGAGCTCTATTTGACCTTTATTTGTCTGTGCTTGTCTCATTAGGTCACCCAGATTCTTAGCAACACTGATTCAGATACCAAGGCCTCCCTTACTGTGTCGTGCTTGGGAGAAGGAGACTGGAGCAACCTTGGGCATCCTCGATTTCAGGAAATTATTAATTTGAAACTGAATCCTGATCCAGTTCTTCCAGAAATGGATGGGGTGTCTGAGTTTGCAGAATACGTCTCTGAGACAGTTGATGTGCCATCTCCATTTGATCTCCTGGAGCCACCCACCTCAGGGGGCTTTCTGAAGCTTTCTAAACCCTGCTGCTACATATTTCCTGGGGGAAGAGGTGATTCTGCTCTCTTTGCTGTCAATGGGTTTAACATCCTTGTGGATGGTGGCTCTGACAGGAAATCTTGCTTCTGGAAGCTGGTAAGGCACCTGGATAGGATTGACTCGATCCTGCTCACCCACATTGGTGCAGACAACCTACCTGGCATCAATGGGCTGCTGCAGAGGAAAGTTGCTGAGCAAGAGGAGGAACAATCCCAGGGTTCTACCAACTACAGTGACTGGATGAAGAATCTAATTTCTCCTGAGTTAGGGGTGGTTTTTTTTAATGTTCCTGAAAAACTGAAGATGCCTGAATCGTCCATGAAAGTAAAGAGGAGCATCGAAGAAGCTTGTCTGACACTGCAGTATCTCAACAGACTAGGCATTAAATCAGAGCCTCTCTACAGGGTGGTGAGCAGTACCATTGAACCTATCACACTTTTCCACAAAATGGGAGTGGGTAAGCTGGACATGTATATACTGAATCCTGTCAAGGACAGTAAAGAAATGCAGTTTCTAATGCAGAAATGGGCTGGTAATAGTAAAGCAAAGACTGGCATAATTCTTGCGAGTGGGAAAGAAGGTGAAATTTCTGTTCCCTATCTCACATCCATCACAGCCCTAGTGGTGTGGCTTCCAGCTAGCCCAACAGAGAAAATTGTAAGGGTTTTGTTTCCTGGAAATGCTCCTCAAAATAAGATACTGGAAGGTCTTGAGAAACTCAAGCACCTAGATTTTCTGAGGTACCCAGTGGCTACTCAGAAAGATATCACTTGTGGAATACCTCCACCTGTGCTGAAGCAGACCAAAATTAAACAAAGAACTGACAGTAAAGAGAGTCTTAAATCTTCCCCCAAGCCATCTGTGACAAAGCAAGCTAAGAAAGAAGAAGCAGTTGAGGATGGGGTTAAGGAGGTAAAACCAGAAGTCATAAAGGATGCTAAAATTGAGAAAAAGGTTAAAGAACAGTCAGAGAAAATTCCTGAGAAGCCTGTTAAACATGAAAAGATAAAAATAGAAACAAGTGATGCTCTCAAAGCTGAGAAAAGAAAATTGGCAAAAGAGAAGGTTGGAAAAAAGCATCTCAAAGAGAAAGTATCCAAACTGGAGGAGAAGAAAGACAAAGAGAAGAAAGATATTAAGAAGGAGAAAAAAGACTTAAAAAAAGATGATGGAAAGAAAGAGGAAAAAAAAGATTCAAAGAAAGAGGATAAAAAGAAAGAAACCAAGCCAGAGTCCAAAAAAATTTCTAAACCAGACTTAAAACCATTTACCCCAGAAGTAAGAAAAACATTATACAAGGCAAAAGTTCCAGGCAGACTGAAAACTGAGAAGATCAAAGTCAAACCTGAAAAAGAAGTACCTGCTGACTTGACGACGTCACCGATGGAAAAGGCACCTCTACAGATGGAGCCAGGAGAGACTTCCGTAGCTGAACAAAGGTTAGTCCTGTCTTCACCAGAAGATCTTACAAAGGACTTTGAGGAACTGAAGCATGAGGAGAAAGGGGCCTTGCAGGTGACCCAAGAAATGTCCGATATTGAGGTTAGTGATAAGATTACGAGGGTACCTGAAATCGAGGTAAAAGACTCTGCTGACATGATTGCTCAGAGTTGCCTTGACGTGGATCTGATTTTGAAAAAAAACATTCCTGATCAGGGAATAACTACTATTGATATGGAAAAAGAACCACCAGGAGAGGAAAAGACAGTCCCTCAGCTAGAACTGAGAGCAGGTCATGCTGAAAAAATAGAGGATGAAAGAAGAACAGTAGATGAAACTCATGACATGAGATACTGTGAGGGAAAAGCTGAGCAGGACGAGGAAGGTCAGCTGTTTCTAGACAAAGAACAGGTACCATCACAGACAGACCTCTTAGCAAAGGGTGTTCGGTCATCAGTGTTCAGAGGGGAAGAAAAGGAGGAAGAGGAAAAAATCTATTTGGACAGAAAACAGAGGGAAGCAGAAACAAAGACTTGTGAAAAGTATATTGAGGGGACAGAGGCACAGGAAGAGGGTGAGAAGGAAAAGAGAGAAGATGTGATAGAAAAGGCAGAACTGGAAGAAAAGGAAGAACAGCACATGAAGGCAGAGGAGAAGGCAGAAAAGAATAGAGACTTCTATGAGCTGAATCAGAATGAGAAGGAGGAAAAAATATTTACCACTACAGAAAAGGAAAAAGAATTTAGTGACATGGGTGAGAAAAACAAGTTATTTGGAAAGGATGTAACAAAGGAAGAGTCGTACCTGAGCTTGCCGGTCCCACCAGGAGCAACAGCAGAACATGTTTCATACATCCAAGATGAAACTATCCCAGGCTACTCAGAAACAGAGCAGACCATTTCTGATGAAGAAATACATGATGAACAGGAAGAGAGGATCCCACACTTGAAGTATGATGTCAATGCCTATGACATATCTGTTCCTGACCACCCAGGCTCTTTTGAAGCAATACATGGAATACAGGCCATGCCTACTGCTGACCTTTCAGCCAAAGGCTATGCTGGACAGGAGTCTGAAATCCTGGCATATCCTACAAACATTGTGGCAGCACCTCTAGCTGAGGAGGAACATATATCCTCTGCTACCTCCATTACAGAATGTGATAAGCTTTCATCTTTTGCAACTTCAGTAGCAGAGGATCAATCTGTTGCATCTATAACAGCACCGCAGACAGAAGAGACTGGGAAAAGCTCTTTACTTCTAGACACAGTAAACAGCATGCCCTCCTCTCGGACTGAAGCAACCCAAGGTCTCGACTATGTTCCCTCTGCCGGCACAATCTCTCCCACATCATCCTTGGAGGAAGACAAATGTTTTAAATCTCCACCCCCTGAAGATTTCCATGCATTAGCAGAAGGAGAGAGAAAACCGGAAGCTCAAAAAAAGGATCTTCATGAAGAGGCAGACGATGAAGAAGAAGATGGGACTCCAAACATTGAAATGCCTGAGAAACTCCGAGGGCATTACAGTGCCCCCATGTTTGCTCATCAAGGATGTCCTGATAAGGTGCTAATCAGTGTTCCCATGGAAGTGATGCAAACTTCTGCTCTGCCATTATCCACTGAAGAAACACCATTTTCCCAGGTTGACTCTGCAGAGGCTGAAGAACGATGCATGAGTCCTGATGATAGTACAGTCAAAATGGCCTCTCCCACCCCATCTGGCCCCACTAGTGCAGGACACACTCCTTTTCACCAGTCTCCAGTGGAGGAAAAACTAGAAACAGTAGATTCAGATTTATTTGAAAAACAAACAGATGCTGCTGCCAAGAAATTGGAAGGCCAAACTTCTGTTGTGGTGAAGGGAGCCAAGGGTGAACCTCACAGAGAAGACGAGGTGTCTGCAGCTAAATACAGACATGAAAAAGAAGTGCCTGGACCTGTACAGCACAAGCTGGACTTTGGCAGTGACATTCCCGTGTCTCCTGGGGAGGAGGTGCAGGAAGAACCAGTGGGGAAGGAGGAGCTGCCCTGGCTTTCCTACCACAAGCAGGACACAGTGGTGATAGGGGAGGAGGAGGATCATCCTGTGCTGCCCCATCCCAGCACAGATGTGTTTCTGGAGACAGAAAAAGACCAAGGAACTAAATCCATAACAGAAAGTTTAATGGGATTTTCAAAAGACTTGTCCTTTGAGCCATTCTCTACCACAGAAACATTTCTAGGAAATGTGGATCCTCTACAGTTCACACGCCAAAGCAAATCTGACAGTGACAAATCTTCACAGTTTTCACCAGATGACACCAAATCCCTTTCTTTTACAGAAGAAAATATTGGTAAAGAAAAATCCTCAGATATTTCTGTTAAGGGAGTGACTACTGAAGAAGGAAAATTGATGTATTTCACAGGAGACACCTCAGAAGAAGAAAAATCTTCTCGTGTTTCCATTAAAGACATTTCTCCAGAAGAGACCAAATCCATGTCTCCCACTGAGAGTCCCAGCAAGGAAATCTCTTCAGACCTTTTTGTTAGAGGAATTTCTCCAGAAGACATCAAATCTCTTAGTTTCACAGAAGAGATACCTGCAAAAGAAAAAACTATGTCTGACTTTACTGACAAATTCCCTTCAGAAGCTGTGAAATCCATGGATTTCACAGAGCAGAGCCCAGCTGCATATGAAAAATCACTGAAAATTTCTGCCAAAGAACTCACGAAAGAACTATCAAAATCTTTTCCTTGCCCAGAGAGTAGCTCAGTTAAAGAGGCGTCACCCAGAGACACTTCGGCTGAAGAAATGTCTCCAGATGACAGCAGTTTATTTTCTGCATCAGAAAAGGACTCATTTAGGGGAAGAACTGCAGGCTTGGACTCTCAGGAAGTATCTCCAGATGCAAAGGACTTACACTTTACAGAATCTAGCCCAACTGAGGATAAAACACCTTCACACATTTCTGCTGAAGGTATAAAATTTTGCAGGTTCAAGGAAGTTCAGGAAGAAAAATCTCCAGAAATGGAAGACTTTTACATGCAAGGTTTAAGTTATGAGAAGAAAGTGTGGTTTCCAGAAGAGATGGAGGAGAATCTTGTTCAGGGAAGACGGCAGAGATATGATAAAGAGAGAGAGAGCACATTCTTGGATGAGGTACCAGAATATGAAAAAAAATCCCTTCCTAAAATGGGAGAGGAGGAGATCCTGTCTCCTGCAGTGCCTGGCAGTCACACCTGGAGAAGAGCAGAAAGTGAAGCATGGGGATCTGCATATGGGTATCTTCAGGAAGGAAGAAAGACTGGAAGAGGAGGGCAGTTACCCAAAGAGGAGGATGAGGATCTCCATCACGCTGAAGACACACCTGTGCTACTGCAAGCAGAAGCAGAATGTTTAAAGATGGAATCAGGTGATTACAAAGAAGATACACAGAAGAGTGCCAAACCTACATCAGAAACAAAGACAGTGGAAATCGTTTCTGCTGACATCACTCTCCCAGAAAGAACACAAATGGAAAGTTCTCTGTCTTCTCGATACATCTCTGGTGAGGGAAATCAGGACAAAACATTAACTGGAAACAAAGAAAGGCAAGAATTGTTGTTGACATCTAAACAAGATTACTCCTACTTAGATGACGAGGAGAGAGCTGTCCTAGATATCTACGCAAAGTCACTAGACCAAGCACTGACAGCATCTCCCCTGTCTGTAATGGCTACCACTCTGGAAAAGGAGACTGACACAACACCAGAAACAGAAAGGCCTTACAAGTTAGATCAGTGCAAGCCACCTTTACAGGAGGGAGTCCCATCAAAGGACACAGAGAATAAATCAGGCATCAGTGCTTTGTATCAGGAAATAGACTGTAAATACAAGTCAGATAGAAAGCAAGAGGACGACTGCAAATCCACTGAGGGTCTTTATGACTCAACAGAAAGAAAAGAGCAGATGGCAGTAGCATTTACTCTGTTGCAATCTACAAGACCAGCAGAATACGAATATATAGTAGCATCCCCAGAAGAAAGTGCTGCAGTGTCAGGGCAGCATGCACACTCCCCTCTAGGACAAGGCCCTTGTCAAAAAAGCAGTGCTGTCATGGGCCATGCTGAGGCTGTGGGTTCTGCCAGCCAAGTGGCATATCCTCCAGAGACCTATTCCAGGAGCTCCTCTAATCCTTATTCCTATGAGGAGGGGGTCTACAGACCCAGAGGTGATGACATCTCTACAAGACAAGAACAAGAAGAAAGAGAACCAACTCCTTACCCTGATGAAAGAAGTTTCAAGTATGCTGACATCTATGAGAAGATAATTGTGTCTGCAGTTGGACCCCCCTCCTTCAAACCCAAGGGTGCACACAGCCCAGGTCACACTGACAAAGTTCCAGCAGCAGCACTGGTCTCCCAAAAAGGTCCAAGTTTTCATGTCTCTGCAAAGGAAGAAGAGTCCTGCCTTTATACCTCTGCTGAGAAGGAGTTGTCATCTCCAGCATCCCCTAAAGATAAAGCAGATTCAGCCTTTGACTATACAGACATCCATGAAAGATACTTGCCCTTCTCTGAAACAGCTAAGCCTAGGATATCTGAACGACAGGAAAAACTGAAGGTGTCTTCTGCTTTGCCAGAAGAACTGGACTCGGAACTGCACCCATCATCTGCAAGTACAGCATTTGCCTCTCCCACAGACATGACTGACACGTTTTATCCAGAAAAATCAGCTGCCTATATTGATGCTGCTCATCCAGATGAGAACATAATTTTGTCTAGCCAGGAGCAGATATCTCTGTCCCCAAAATCTGAAAGCCCGAATCCCAAAGATACATACTATGAGAAAGCAGGTCGAGGGGAAGAAAGCATGAGTGACTCAGAGTTAGAAAAAGGTGCTAAGGAGAAGTCTGAAAAGGAGTCTAAACTGCACAGCCTTGTTGAAGCTGCAGGCACAGTCTATGCAGACATCTCAGCAATGGACAAGTTTCATGTATCAGAACCCCTTCTGCAAAGCAAGAGTCAGGAGTCCATTTCACCCAGTTCTACTGCCTCTTCACCCTCTGATCCAGGGTGGAAAGAGGAATGCAGAAGCTGGAAAACTCCATCAGCCACTGTTGTGGGGACATATGTTGCTGGTTACAGTGACCTGCCAGACATAGGCAGAGATGAGCAGCCTTCACAAATGTGCCATTTAAGACAAGATTCTTCACAAAAGAGAGAGGTTGCTGAAAAATCCACAAGGGAATCACATTTCTGTGTAACAGATTACCCAAGTGCAGTGGTGGTCTCAGAGTGCCAAGAGCAAGCCATATGCTTGAAATCTCCTTCCGGAAAACAGAGAGAGGCATACAAAAAGGACCAAACAGTAGAGGACAGAGTGATGGATAGTTCTT